GGAACGGGACTCGCGGTGGGGAGACGGAGGAGAGGGGGCGAGAAGGGGGGGCCAGCCGGGCCGGCGCTCTGTGGGCAGGGCCTGCCACGCTGGCCCCTGGCCCCATGGTGGGGCGTCGCGCACGCCTGCGGGCACCCGGTGAGGGCGGGCTGCTCCCACGCAGGCACGTGCTGTCAGTTTGCCCGGGAGACGGCAGCGGGTGGGCCGGGGGGCCTCTGGGAGGGTGTGCGGTTATGGGGAGCGGGCTGGGCCGTGGCTGGGCCGGAAGGAAAAGAGTAATTGGCACTCGCAGTTGGAGCACATGGGGCGTTTTGCAGGGGCTCCAGAAGGCCCTCCGTGGGTCCCGTTTCGGTGGTTCCTGCGGCGGCGGCCCAGGAGGTGGGTCCGTTCTGTGTCTTCCCGACCATTCCAGACAATCGGTGCTCGCTGCAGATGGCAGTGCGGCGTCGGAGAGGCCGCCGGGCTCCTTTTAGGCCACTCGTGAACTCGTGGTGGAACTGCTGAGCAGGCAGCGTGCGAGCGCAGGCCAGAAGCGTCCTCCTCCCCGCTCGGAAATGGGGGCAATGCCCCGGGGTGGCATGCAGGAACGGCTGAGGGTTCCTCAGCGGGGGAGAAGCGATCCGTTCACAGAAACAGAGAAACCGAGCGAGTCAGAGGGGCCTCCCGGGCCATCTAGTCTGACCCCGGCTCCGCTCGCGACATGCCCACCATGTGCACGTCCAGCCTGTCTTTGAACACCCTTTCATGCTCAGAGGACCCTGTTCCTCTTTAAAGCTCTGTGTTCTTTCCCAGCAGTGCATAACCGGGGTCTTTGCACACCTGGGCTGGCCGCTGGCCAGGGCTGGGTCCACCCCGGGGGGGGGGCGTCTGGGCGAGGAGCCGCTCCCGGGACCCTCCCCACGGTTTCCTGGGTCCCCACGTGGCTCGTCTGGAGCGGGAGGGGCCAGAGGATGTCTGGGGCGAACCGCTGTGCACCAGCCCGTCTTCCTGGCGGCTGCTCCACGGCTTTCGTCCGGGGCAGGGAGGCTGCCCGCTGCCCCACCAGGCTGGCTGCCGTTCGCGCTTCACGCCTCCTCCCATCTGTGCCCTGCAGCCACTGTCTCCTGCTGCGTGCGTCCCCCCGGCGGACCCCCGCCCTCTCTCTGTGGCCCCCGCCACGCTGCTCCCCGCCGGCCTCTTTCCTCGCTGCACATCCCTCCTGCCACCTTCCCTCCACCGCACTACCGTGCCCCGCCACGTCCGCCCGGTTGCTCCGTCCGTCCGTCCGTCCGTCCACGGGAGTTGGGCTCTGGTGCGTGCCTCCCGCCCCTTCCCCCCGGGCCTTTGGATTCTCCCAGACGTAATTTTGTACTAATTACATGTTCCTGCCTCTAATTGCCACATTGTGAATGATAAACAAAAAACTCCAATTTTATTTAATTAAAGACCTGGTAGAATCCACCGGGGAGAATCGTAGGGTAAAGGCTCGGGGAGACAGTGCAATTCTCTGCAGGCCGGATCCTCGCGGGGAAGGGGCTCTCGCATCCGTGGCAGAAAGTTGCGTGGAAGCAGATTGTGCGGCCACACCTCCGTGCCACCCATCTGGATCCCGTGGCCTCCAGGACGGGAAATGGAGGCAGGGTTCATGGTGGCACGAGAGGAGCCTGCTTCGGGAATGCCTGCGCTGATCGATCATCTTGGCAAAGGGCTTTTGGGCCGCCCATCGGGGGCTGGTGGGACTATTGGAGTGGCCTGAGATAGGTAGGTAGGTAGGTAGGTAGGTAGGTAGAAAAATAAAAGATGGCCACTTCTGCATGGCCCTCCCCTCGCAGGCCTGCAAGAAGCGCACTGATGTTCCCACGAACTCGCACACCTTGCGCTTCCTGCTTGCCAGCACGCAGGCGAGGCATCAGTGCCCGGCCTTTGGCTGTCGCTGGCGAGTGTCGGGAGGATGGAGCCCGGCCGGATGAAGGCAGCCGGAGAGCCAGGCTGCGGCACACCCACGACCTCTCCCCACCACCCGGCCTTCTCTGCGGTAGCCTCTGGGCCAGGAGCCTTCTCCTCCACGGAGTGGCCCAGTCCTCTTTAAAAGCCATCCAGAGTGGTGGCCAGGAGCGCTTCCTGTGGCAGCAGGACCTCGTCCGACTCTGGCCTCGAGGATGCCCTTCTGCCCTGCGTCTGTCCCGGGCCTCCCACTGTTCTGCCGGATGCGGCGACCCCGTGGGCCCCGGCATGAGCATAACGGGAGGAAGGGGCCTCCCACCTGCTTTCCCCCCCACAAGCATTGCTTTCTGCACCGCTGTCCTGCCCCCTCCCTCCCCGTCATGCCGAGCCCAGCAATCCACGTGTCGCAGCCTTGCTCCAGCCGCTCCAGCCTTTTCATTGCCCTTCTCTGCACTTTTCCAACCCAATAGTATCCTTTTCCAGGCCAGAATTCGGCCCGGTCTGGCTGCACCCTAGATTTGTACAAGGGCAGGACTTAATTTTCAACTCTCTTTCAGTTTATTCTCCACATGGCAGTTAACTTTTCCAGTGGCTGCCCACTGGCCTGGCTTTTTGATGGGGGTGTCCACCGTGGTCCGGAGACCCCCTGGGCCACAGGTGCCGCTTCTGTACCCATACTTGACCTGGGAAGAGGCGTGTTGCTAGACTCCGAAACGATTCAGGGCCCAGCTCCACAGGGTTTGGGTCTGCCCAAAATGTATGTCTGGCAATTGATATCAACATAAGCAAATTTAAAATAATCCCCAAGATTTCCTAATGTTTCACAGAAGGCAAAGCCAATCAACTCATTTCTAATTCAAATCTTTTCAAATAAAACCAATTTTCCCCTTATGTTTCACTCTGCCCCAGATTAGCCCAAATCAATAGTTTCAGTTCAATTAAAATTAATTTACAATAATTTGCAATTGTGGAAAAAATGCAAAACAGTGAATGGTAGTTTTCTCTCTCTCTCTCTCTCTCTCACACACACACACACCCTTTAAAATGACAACTTTTGCATTTCAGCAATTTAACAGGATCAAGGACAAATTAGAGGGTCACCCTGAATAAATTTTCCAATTCCCACCCAGCTCCTCCTCCAAAACCGTTTCCTCGTCAATCAAGTGCGCCCTTCCTCTCTCGTTACGGGGCCCATGCCTTCCCTTCCAAACACAATCAAGCCGCGCACAGTTCCACAGATGAGGGGCGGGGGGGGGGGGTTCAAGGTGCTGGTCGGGCTGGAGAATGTGCTGCATGAAAGGGGGCAGATGAGGAAGATGGGGAGGGTAGTGGGGGAAGGAAAGAAGGAGAAGAGGGGCTTGGAGTGGGGAATCAGATGGAGAGGATGGGTGGAAGAGCCACACCTGGCAAGGAGAAGGGATGCAGAGGCCGGGGGGGGGGGGCTGTGTACCCCCCACCTGTTTTCTCTGCTTTGCAGGTTCTGGTGTTGCCCCTCCGTCAAGTGTGGGGTTGTGTCTTTCCCGCCAGACCTCAGCACATGCACCGAGCGGGGGGGGGGCAGAGGCTCTCCCCCCACAATGCTGGAGATCAGGGGAACTGTGCACTGTTCTGGGTGGCACAAGGGGGTCTTGCGCACGGGGCTCCTGCAAAAAGGAAAGCAAAATGTGCCCCCCCGCCACTCACCCCCCCACACCTTTCCCTTCTCTCTCGTCTCTCTCCCCGCTCTCCTGGTGGAAACTTGCTCCTAGCCCACAGAATTAGCAAAGCTCGTCACTTGGCGTCGCACGAACTCCCCCGCCCCAACCTCATTGCCACATGGAGGGGGGGTTTGGGGGCCCTACATCCCCCAGGGAAGGAAGGGTTGACTCTCCCCCCCACTGTTCCTATGAAAATCTGCCCCCCCCCCCACAGCATGGAAAGGAAGCTGAGAAAAAACTGCTCCCCGTGGTGGAAATGCCTTTTTGGAAGTTTCGTTGCCACGCAGTGGGTAAGGAGGGGGTCCTTCCAGTCCCCCCCCCTTGGAAGTTGTTCTCTGAATGTCAACCGAGCTGAGAAAAACCCGCTTTTCTACGGGCCTCAGTGGGTGCCAAGGAGATGCGTGCGGGCCTCCGGGACCCATGCGCTGTGCCCTGCCTGCCTGGCTTTTCCGGAGGTCTGGCCGGCTGCCCACGTGGCTTCCCGTATCGGGCCGGAAGGGCACCAAGATCACATGCAGGGCTGGGCCAAGGGTGCCCCCCAGAGCATCACAGGAACCACGTGGCCCCCCTTCCAGGCCCCTGGGCCTGGCTACGGCCACGAGGCCAAGCTGCCCGCAGCCGCCTCCTTTCGGAAATGCAGGAAGGGGCAGGCAACCCCCCCAGGGCCCTTTGGCGGACCGCGGGCCACCGGGGCTGTGGGCGCCAGTCCCGGGGCCGCCCCTGCAGCCCGGCTGTGCAGCTGTCGGCCGAAGCGCGTTCTTCGTGCAGAAGCAGCCTTCCCGGCCCGCTCCGTCCACGTGCGCCGGGCCCTGGCTGCCATCATGGCCGGGTTGACGGGAGCCGGTCTCACACTCCCGGGGCAAGGAGGGGTCAGCACGACCCTTGGCTGGATCGTGCTGCTGCAGAACCCGTGGCGCATGGGCCGCTTGGTCCCGGGCTGAAGAGTGGCGCGCCGCAGGGGTCCGCTGGGGCCACCGGCGTGTCCTGCTTTGGGGACGAAGGGGTGGGCTGGCTGTTGCCCATGAAGCGCGGCTGAGCTGGGGGTGCGAGCTCCTCTTCCCAAGCGCGGCTTCCCTCCCTCGCCGCATCCCGCCCTTTCCTTTCCCCTTTCCCGTCTGAGGTGCCCGCCCTTAAATTCTCTCCCCGTCTCTCAACCTGCAGGTGCCTGTCTTGCGTCTGGCTGGACCTTGCTTCTGCCGCGGGGCCGCGATGGAGCGCAACAGACGCCTTCTCTCTGCCGGAAAGCCCCCGGGTGCCTCTCGCTAGGACCGCCGGGTCCCCCAGCCCTCCCTGCTCTGGCCGCAGCCTCTCCTGTGCTCTCTCCTCCTCCTCCTCCTCCTCCACCGCCGCTGCTTGGGCCGGCCGCCTCCGCCTCGACTTCCCCCCTGCTCCGAGGAACGCTCTCTCACCCCGCCAGGGTCCTCTGCCCCGCGGCCGCCATGATTCTCTCGCCCGCGAGCCTCGCCGTGCGGATGCTGAACGTCCGGACGGGCTCCGCCCTCCTCCTCTGGCTTCTGGGGTCGGCCCTGCGGTCCCTGTCCATCTCGGGACAGAAGCCCGAGGACAAGTACCCCGTGGTGCCCACCAATTATGGGAAGCTTCGCGGGATCAAGAAAGACCTGAACAACGAGATCCTCGGCCCGGTGGTGCAGTACCTGGGGATCCCGTACGCCACGCCGCCTGTTGGGGAGAGACGCTTCCAGCCCCCCGAGGCGCCGGCTTCCTGGTCGGAGGTGCGCAACGCCACAGCCTTCGCCCCCGTCTGCCCGCAGAATATCCACGGGATGCTGCCCGGCATCATGCTCCCGGTCTGGTTCACCGACAACCTGGAGGTTGTGGCGGGATACGTCCAGAACCAGAGCGAGGACTGCCTGTACCTCAACATCTATGTGCCCATGGAGGACGGTAAGAGGGCTGGGCGGGCCGCGCCATTCCCCACCCCCTTCCCCCTCTCCGGGGGCACAGAGGGCCCCGGCCCCGCCAGAGCCCCCGCTCGCGAAGGCCTGAATCTGCACTGAGCCCAGCCCTCTCGGCACCAGCCCTTGCCGTGCAGTGCGCCCACAGCCCTCCGGCCGGCGAAGCCCGGCCCCCCGTGCGTTCCCTGCGGCCAGCCCCCTCCCCGGAGGTCCCAGCAGCCGTAGCCGAGTCTGTAGCAATGGCAGCGCTCCATGCGCCTGGTTGCAGGGCCGGCCACGGCCCTCCTCCAGCTGCTGCCCCAGCCCGGCGAGCCCGTGGCTGCGAGGGAGGCCCTCTCGGAGCCCTGGACCCCAGGCCTGCACCGGGCCTCCTTCGTGCGGAACTGGGCTCCCTCCCTGGGTGCCGAGGGGCCCCATCCTGCGAGGGCCCGTGCTGGCCCTCCCAGGCTGCGACCAGGCCTTGGCCACGGGGCAGGGCACTGAGAGAGGGGGCCCACCCGCAGGCAAGGGAGGGCCGCCAGCTCCGGCGCCCGCAGAAAGAGGAGGCCACCGCACCTGCCGTTCTAGGCGGAGGAGATGCCCCCCTTCGGCCCATTGGCCAGAGGCCACCGGTGCTGCGCTTGGGTGCCCCGGCTCCTCTGTACATGTGCAGCCGTGGCGGGCGGTTGGAAACCAGCACTCCGTCCCGTGTCCCGTGCCGCGAGGGCGTTGCGCTCAGCTGCCGCCTGGGGCAAGGAGGCCGCCCAGGCCACCAAGCCTCCTTCCCATGGTCCCTCCCTCCCTCCCTCGGAGGTCTCTGCCGGAAAGCGTGGACTGATGCTTCCATGCTGCTAGGGCAGGACGTGTCAGGCCCGGCTGCCTCTGGTGAACCGAACCGTGGGCCCTGTGCCTCGCACTCCACCCAGGTTAGCAAGACGTGTGCTGCTTATAGGAACACAGAAACCGTGAGTCAGAAGGGTCCTCCTGGGTCATCTAGTCTGACCCCAGGCTCCAGCCGGCTCCGCTCACGACATGCCCACCATGTGGACGTCCAGCCTGTCCTTAAACCCCCTCACCGATGGGGCCTCAACCACCTCCCGGGAAAGCCCATTCCACACCCTCGGCATCCTAACCATCAGGAAGTGCTTCCTGGCGTCCCAATTGAACCCTGGTTCCCTGAGCTTGGCTCCGTGGGAGCGCGTCCTGCCCTCCACTGCGGGTGGGGGGGGTCAGGACCCACCACTGTGTGGCCACCCCCTCACCTGTTTACTGCCAGATGAGAGTGTAGCATCCGCTGGCTGCCAGTGGGTGAAGCAGGACCAGGGGCCCGTGGCTGGCCCCCGTTGCGTACCTTTGCTAGGGATGCAGCAGGTAGACACCTGCACAGGTCAGATGGTTTGCCCCTCTGGTCCAGGGACGCAGGACCCAGCCCACCTGGGGGCCCGATCCGGGCTTCTGGGAATCCTCGGATGGCCCCCCCCCCGTCCTGGTTTGGGGGCTTCCCCACTTGTGCTGGCCTTTCCGCATTCTGCAAGGGAAGCAGCCGGGTTGCCGACCATAAGAGTAGAACCTAAAATGAGCCGATCCCTTTCGAGTTGTGGCCCTGTCAGTTTGCGCTTGGCCCCCACCTCTGGCATGTGGCCCCCGAGGGTCTTCCGGAAAGGGAATGTGACCCTCGGGCCAACGGAGGATTCCCCCCCCCCCCGGATCTAGGCCAGTCTTGCTTCCTGCAAGGGTAGGCAACCAGTACCTTCTAGATATTTGGGCGGAGAGTTCCCATGAGCCCCAGCCAAGGAGGCCAGTGGCCAGGGATTACGGGCTTTGTAGTCCAGAGCTCCTGGAAGGCCTCGGGTCACCCCCCTCTGGCCTGCTCCAATCAGCAAAGTCCCTGCGTGCTTCCTCCTGGGGTTTTCCCTGCGGACCCCAGCAGGCCCTGCTTTGGGGTGGGGGGGGCAGGCTGCACCCACAGCGATACCGAGCTCCCCCACCTAGTGGAAGGCAAGCACTCCACTGTGGTAGCGGCACTTCCCGACGCTGTGGGAATGCAATTCCCATCATTTCTCCCCAGGGGCTCAGCTGGCCAGGGCGGGGGGGGGGGGTTGCAGCCATACACTGTCCGGCAGGGTGCTCGGCCCCCACCCCAATAAATGAGATTTGCCCACGCCACGAAGCGCCCCCCAAGCCTCGCCGAGCCCGGCCTCCATGTTCTCCCAGCCTCGAGAACCACACTGCTTTCCTTCTCCCAGGCGGTTCCGGTGATGACCCTCCCCATATGTCCTTTTCCTGGGGAGGGGGCTGGGGAGCGACCACCCTTTCTGGGTCATCCTGACAGGATCCGTCTCAAGTTTTCCTCCTGAATATGGGGGGGAGGGGGAGGAAGAAGCCGGCATAATTTAGGGATGATCTTTGGGAGGGAGAGGCAGAGATCTGAACATCTCTTCCCCCCAGCACTTGAAAAGCAGGTGGGAGGGCCCAGGTGTGCTGCTCCCCTCCCCTCCCCCTCCCTCGTTCCCTTAACTCACCCCTTTCCCCCCCCAAAACCCCGGTCCCTTGGTCCCCCTTTCCCCCCCCCCCCCATGCCATGCCGCTGCCTTAATCTGGCGCACTTCCTCCGGGGGGAACCCAGGTGTCCTATTTCCTCATTCCGGCCGAGCCAGGAGGTCCATGGCGCCAGGCATCCGGGGGCCCTCCCAGTCCCCTTCCCTTCCCACGAAAGCCGTGCCCCCCAGTTCAGCGTGCCCTGAATTTGCCCCCCTCCTCCGCCCCCCCCGGCCGCCCCCCCCCCCCCCCCCCCCGCCGTGGCTGCAAGGCTCCCGGAGAACAGGGGCGTTTTGGCTCCCAGAATCCTTTGCGACGCCCCTCGGAGACTCGCTTCTCCAGGCGCGTCCCCACTTTCTCCCGCTCTGCCACATCCTGTCGCTTCGCCCGCGTCCATGTGCCACTGAGGAGCCCCCCCCCCGCCCCGAGCAGGGCTGGGGGGCGGCCGGGGGGGGGAGCACCGGGGTGACCGGGCTGTCCCCAAAGGCAGGCGGAAGCCCCCGCGGGAGGGCGGGTGGGGGGAGGAGCGCGGCTGCTCAGGTGCCCCCCACCGCCTCCCCCCTCGCCGTCCTTTTTGCAGCATGGCTAAGCCAGTTGCCTTGGCAACGACAAAAAAGAGGAAAGGATTGCATGGAAAAGGGAAGCGAAAGCAAATCCCAGCCTGCCAGAAACAACAAGGCGCGGGAGCGCCCCTTTCTGGAGGGGGGGCAGCCCCTCGCCGCCCCTCCCCTCCCCTCCCCTCCCCCCGCCCCGCACGCCCCCCCCCCGGCCAGCCGCTCTCGCGTCACGTCCCGCCCGAGGCTGCGGGGAGCGCCGGCGCGCATTCGGGGCCCCGAGAGGCGGGGGCGCGCCCGCCTGCAGCCCCCCCGCCCCTGCCGCGCCAGGGGGGGCGCAGCGGCACGTCGGGACGGCGGGGTCGCCGACGCGAGCGAAGCCGCGAGGAGCGGCGCCCTCGGAGGCCTTCGCGCGAGGCTGGCAGGGGGGAGCCCGCCGCGGCCTCTCCCGCCTCGCTTCCCCTCCTGCTGTGCTGGACTACAGCTCCCAGCATCCGGGGGACGAGGCTGCAGTAGCGGCGTGCCGGTGCCGGCGGTCACCTGGCGAGCGAGCGCCCTCCTCGCTGACTCAGCCGATGCGCGGAAAGTGCTCTGAGAACAGCCGCCCTCCCCGCGCGGGGCCCTCCCAGCGCCTAGGACTACAACTCCCATCCAGCGGGCCAGCGCAGCCGGGGTTCTGGGGTGGGGGAGATGTAACCCAGGACCTCTGGAGAGCTTTGCATCGGGGAAAGCGGACCTATATGTAAATCCAGAGGTGGGTTCAGTGGGTCTGGCTCCCAGGGAGGTGTGCCTAGGATTGCCGCCTAAATCTGCCTAAATTTGCACACAGGTGTTTGCGTTGAGGTGCTACCTGTTCTAGTCTTTGAAGGGACCCCCCCACCCCAGGGAGAGAGGAGGAGGGCTACTTCTTTTCACAAGGTCCCTGCTTGGCCTCAGGGGTGTTAATATTTTTACGGAAAATAACTAATCGGAGGGGGGTGCTTGCTTAAGCAGGGATGCCTCTTTAGTGCCCTGAAAAGATTTCTCCCCCATTTAAAGACCCGATTCATCTGCCAACGTTCACGGCCCAAACCCTCCCACTGCTTCCCAGCCCCCGGTCCCTGTTGGGGTTGTTCGCGATCGATCGAGCGCAGGCACTCTGCAGATGCTCGCCGGTGCTCTCTCCGTGGCCTCACACGCTCCGCAGCCGGTGCTGAGCATCAGCCCTGGGCGTCTGGGGCCGAAAAGTCGTTTCCGCTGCTCCCGCGTCCCCTTCTCCCCCCACGGTTTGGAATGGACGCCTCGGGCCCGTCGCTTCTGGCCCAGCAGCTCCCCCCGCCCATGTTCCCCGGCAGCTGGTGCACGCGGGCGGCCTGTCTCTGATGCCAGAGCTGGCCGAGGGGGCGCTATGGGGGCTTTGGGGTGGGTGGGGACCAGCTTCTCGCCAAATCGGCTGTTTCCACCTCGTGCCTGGAAATGGCTTTCCCTGGGAATCATGCAGACGCAGAGTTCAGCAGTCTGGTGCCCCCCCAGGAGTGCTGGTCTGCGTTTCCCTTCCCTGCAGGCAGCCGCCCCGGCTGAGAATGATGGGAACTGCATTCCAATACGCCGCGGGGGGTGCTTTGTTGGTTGGGTATATCCAATTTGGTACACCGTTTGCTCTGTGGGGAAAATCTGGGGCAGATTTTTATGACTTTCACAGGTGCAGTGACAGGGAGGTCGGCCAAAATTTTCCCCTTGGAGTTGCGCAGGAGGGAGCCGTTGGGACCACGGGGGGTTCATCTCACTGGGTGTAGCGGTTTCCTGCACGCCAGACTGGGATGATTGTACGTCTTACTTTTGGAGCCCCGTGGCTGTAAATCCGAGGTTGGCAACAGGCAGCCCCCCTGTGGAACCCGCTGCCCCCCTCCCAGAGACCACGAGACCCCACAGCACGGCCCTGTGGCACGGGCTGCGGGGTGTTGGCCCCCTCCTCTATTCTCCTCCAAGCAGCTGTCCTGCAAAATTAGTTACCAGCAAAACTGCAACTCTGGTGCTAATTTGAGGGTTGCCTCCCTCCTTCCCATGGGGAAAGAATTCCCCACCCCCACCCTGGTCTTCAGCCATATTCCTGTATTTGATTTATAGCCTTCCTTTTTCCTGTTTTAAAGAGCTCACAGCAGCTCAGTCCGTTCCCCGCCTCCTGCTCTCAGCCCTATTCCCACAACGACAACCCTGCGAGGAAGGTCAGGTCGAGAGTCCGACTGGCCCGGTCGCCCCGCGGTAGCCCCTTCCCCCAGGACCCCAGCGCGCCCTGCAGTCGCGAGGAGAGCCGGTGGGCCGCGTTGCCGGACCGCAGCCCCCAGGCTGCTTGCGGGGCCTGTGCGGGGCGCCGGGAAGGGTCCGGCAGGTGGCCGGCAGGCCGAGGGGGCGCTGGGGCGCGGCCACCCCAGAGGCAGGCGAAGGCCGGCCCGGGCCGCTGGCCGGCGTGGCCCACGGCCGCCCAGCGGTGCAGAGAGCCGGCGATGTGTGCTGGCCGAGGGTGCCCGGGCCCCGCTCTGCCCGGCCAGGCCGGCCCGGCTGCCCCAGGCTCCAGGCGCCCCTTCCTCCGGCTCCTCTCCGGGACCGCGTGCGCAGCGGGACGGGGGCTCCGGCGAGGGGCCCGGCCCGAGGGGAGCCCGGCTGGCCCTCCATCCTCTGCGGCGAGGCGCCGGCCCATGAAGACCGCGTCTGTCTCGTCCGCAAGCGCCGGCTTCGCCATGGGGCAGGTGCGGGCGCAGGGGGCTTCCCCGGCCAGGGGCGCCCCGGCCCTGCCCTGCCCCTCGCCTGCCGCCGCCTCCCACAGGGCCCCGTGCCCCGTCCCCTTCCCCTTCCCTGCCGCCGCCTGCCAGGGCCGGACCAGCGCCGGGCACCCGCCGGCGGCGCCCCGGTTGGCCCTTTCTCTGCCCGCTCCCAGCGCCCCGGCCCCCCGGCCGTGCGCCTCCCTCGGGCGCCGAGCGAAAGCCCCCGAAGGCCCGGCCCCGCTGGCCCCCCGCCGCCCCCCCCCGTTTCCCACCTTCCCCTGGCCGTGCCTTTGTGCCTTTGGCGGCACAGCAACAGACAGGAATGCAACAGGTGCGTGGCTCCGTCTCCCGGCCGCCCAGCACTGCACCTGTTGGACTCCTGCCTGCTTGGCATGCAGCTGTGCCAGGCACAGGAGCGCGGCTAGGACGGGGAGGGGGCACCCCTAGCTCTCTTCCTGCCCCCCTCTCCCCCCGCGGCTCTTCACCTGTGTGATTCCTAACGCGGGGGATCCAACCCTGCGCCCGCAGCCCCGACCTGGTTCCTCGCTAACCAACCTTTGATTTCACAGCTTCGCTTTCTCTGTATTTCTGTGTCATACTTTTTTCGGTGGGGGAAAAGGAAATAAAAAGACACACACACACAAACCCAGCGTAATGCACACGTGCGACCCCCCAAAATCTAAAGATTGTTTGTATTTTGCTTTAAAAATATTGCTTTTTCCCCTTTTTGATGAACCAAAAACGATCTCTTTTTTTCTTGATCTTTCTCTCTCTTTTTTCCCCCGTCCCATTTTTCTTTTTTCTTCTTTTTTCTTGCTCTTAGGTCCGCTCACGAAAAAGCGTGAGGAGGCGTCTGCTAACAATCCCACTCCAGACGAAGGTATTTTTTCTGCATGTTTCACAATCTTGCTTTTTAAAGTATTTTCCTTTTTTGTTTTTGGTTTTTACTTCTTCTTTTTTAGAAAAAAACCAGAACAAATGAGCTATGAACTTTTGACTTCCCCCCTTTTTTCCTTTTTTGGGTCTTCTCTTTGAACAAAAACACCCCTTCTTGTTTTCCGAAGTCATCAGACGTGGCCCCCAGAGCCCCCGGCCCCTCCTTTCTCTACCTTTTCCTCTTTTTTTCTTTTTCTTTTTGGAAGGGAAAAATGCCCCCTAGCCCAGCCAGGCCTATAGATGGAGGGGATGTGAGGAATTTCATTGTTAAAAGGAGATATTTTATTTGGGTCTGGGTGCCAGCAGGGGTGGTCCGGGTGCCCCGGGAACACCCCATAAAAGCTACCGAGGCCGGCCGGTTCCCCCATCCTTCTCACCCAGTAATTCCACCTTAGAATTTAAAGTGGATTTCTGTGGCAAATGGGTCGTGGGTATTTTTCTTCCTTACTTGGCAATAAAATTGTGAAATGGGGGAAATGCAAGGAGAGAATGGATAGCCCAGAAGGGGTGAAATGCTGGTCTTTGTTACTACGCCGTGGCAATTGAGCTTTTCTCTGTGCTTGGGAATTCTGTCAGCTGTTTTGTGCAGGATGGCCTTGCCTCAGTGCTGCTCCCTTCAAAGCCCCCCCCCATGCTTCGAGCACCTGCACAGCAGGTGCATGTTACAGGTGGCATCTTGAGGTCCCTTTTGATAGGGTGGAGGATGGGACAGGGTCGGTCCCCCAGCGAAAAAGGGCCGTGTGTCCATGCAGCCACGGCATGGCCTGAGGCACGGCGTGCGTGCTGGAGGCCGGCATCTGAGGGGCTGGGGAGTGGGTTTCCCGACCCCCCACGTCCACCAGCTTGCTGGCCTGCAACGGCCGTCTTGCCCAACCAGCAGGGCTTCTGGGAGTCAAGCTCACCTGGAGGAGGCCCAGGTGGGGAGCGCTGGTCTGTCGGTGCATGCTCATGGGAGCTGTAGTCCAGCAGTGCGGAGGGAGCAGGAGCCGCGGTTCTGCAGGGGCGCTGGCGCTGGCGAGCCGGCAAAGGCAGAGAAGGGCCCGCAGTGGGCACCTGTCCTGTCGGCCAAAGGGAGAGCTGAGCCACGGGGGACCGGCAAGTCCCATGAGGCACGGGAGCTGTGCAGCGGCACGAGACCGAGAGTCCCAAAGAGCTGAAGGACTAGGTGGCACCCGGGCATCGCGGGGAAGCCGTCTTGGAGGACACCCAGTTTGGGGGGTGGGGTTGTGGTGCGGGATGGAACCACTAAATAGGAATTATACTCTCTTGCGGCATGTTGGATTGTTTGGCTAATGAGAAACGCTGCAATTTCTCAAGGAAAAGCAGCCCACCCACACAGAGATCACCCCACTGGAAGAAAGATAGGGGGGCCCCATCCTGTTGCCCAGAATGCCTTCTCCAGAAACATAGAAATGGAGAAACAGAGCGAGTCAGAAGGGGCCTCCCGGGCCATCTAGTCTGACCCCTGGCTCCAGCCGGCTCCTCTCACGACATGCCCACCATGTGCACGTCCAGCCTATCCTTGAACACCCTCACCAATGGGGCCTCAACGAACTCCCAGGGAAGCCCATTCCACACCCTCGGGGTCCTGACTGTCAGGAAGTGCTTCCTGGCATCCCAATTGAACCCTGGTTCCCTGAGCTTGGCTCCGTGGGAGCGCGTCCTGCCTTCCTCTGCAGGGGAGAACAGGTCTCTACCCACCTCCGTGTGACACCCCCTCACGTACCTGCATGTCGCCAACAGATCCCCTCTGAGTCTCCCCTTCTCCAGGCTGAAGAGACCCAGTTCCCTCAGTCTCACCTCATGCGGCTTCCCCTGCAAACCGGCCGCCAACCCTGTGGCCCTGCGCTGCACTGACTCCAACCTGGCGGTATCGTTTCTGTAAGGAGGGGCCCAAAACTGAGCACAATGCTCCAGTTGCGGGCTCTCCAGCCACTTGTCAGCCTGTGAAAACTGGGGGTGCCGAGCCATCGGGTGCCGCACACAGGCAGCATCCAAACGGGGCCCACCCCGAAGTTAAAAGGCAACACATATGCAGGACAGAGCTGGAACTATTTGGGGACCTGTGAGTTATACGCGGTTTGGCTTGTCGAGGAGGAGGAGGGGCCTGAGACCCAGAGGGAGACGGTCCAAGAAATGGAACCCACTCATGCCCAAACTCTGAGAAAAGGCGTGTGGATTTGCTTTTGTAAATTTTGATTGAATTTGCAGTGCGGACTCTCTGCACAGAGAAGAACATCTGTTCCAGGGCAATAGCTTTATTATTTATGACATTGCTGATCTGTCCAATAACTCAGGTTCTCTGGGCAGATGGCAAGCAGCTAAAAAAACCCAATGTCACAGAAGAGTTAAAATACAAAGAATACAATACAAATATTTGAAAAGATAAACTGTAATGGGATGCAAAACCAAAAACAGCCCTCATAACCTCAAACTAGGTCTCTAAAATGCTCGTGAGAAAAGGCTGGTAGGTCTTGGCCTGGTGCTGAAAAGACAACAGCACAGCTGGACCTCTTATTCCAGAACTGGGTGCCACCACTGCGAAGGCCGTCCCTCTGTGCTCGCCCACCGAGCTCCTGCTGGTGGAGGCCCTCATGGCGAGTTTCTGGGGGTGCCTGAAAGCTGGGAGCGGGTGGGATATGCCGGAGGAGTTTGCCTCCGGATAAGGCAGGGTATCCCGCTGTGCCATGCTCTCTGAAAAGCCCCAGCAGATGCCCTGCGTGACAGTTCAGGTGGCGGCTCTCAGCCCAGCCCAGCCCAGCTGCCCTGGCGAAGCGCCTCGGGGCCGGGCCCCCGGCTTTGCCGCGGTGCTGCTCTTGTCTGTCTGTGCGCTGGCTACGCAGCCGTATTCCCAACCCTGCTGGCCTAGGCCTCATAGCTGGGGCCCAGGGGGGATTTTGGCACCCTGCTGCTTTGCCAAAACATTCTCCCCCTTTTCCCCCTGCCCTTTCGGGGTGATCCCGTGTGATCCCGTGAATGCTTAAACAGAAACTAGCAGTGTAACTACCTGTGTTTTCTGGCACGTCTTGGAATCCCGGAAGGGACGGGAAAGGAGAGCATTGGCGAAATCGCTGCGGGAGGCAGAGAAAGGCGGAGGGGGTGGAGGGAACAGTGGATTCAGGTAGTGTCCTGACTTACCGGATAGCAGTCCTGATTGACTGAGCTGAAGAGTGCAGTGGGGCTCCTCGGTCTATGGGGTTGGTGTACGCTTGTCTTGGATACCAGTAGGGGCCCTCCGGGTCTTCAGGGGCTCCAGTCACATGTATAGAAGTTGTCTCCCAATGGTGGGGTTTTCCCTGTGGTCGAGAGTAAAGACTACCACAGACCCCCCACAAGGCCTCCAGGTGTTGCTTATTCAGGCCCCCTTCGCACAGCGCCTCGGTCACCTCCTGCGTTCGAGCCTGTGGCTCCCACACTTCCCCCCTCATGTACTCCCCCGGGAACAAACCGGGAAGTTTTTGCTTCCGGTCTGAAGCTAGCCAGACTTGCCCCATCCGATCCAAGTCCGGGGAATGCGGTTTCCTTAAAAGCTGTGGTTGAAGAACAAGCCACCATAGGAAACCACACTTTGGTCCTGGCTTGTCTTAACAAACCACAGTGTTAAAGAAACCGCCGTTCTCCGGAATTTGACATGTTGGGAGAACTGCGGTTAGTTTAAAAGCAAAAGTGAGAGGAAAACTTCCGATGTCGCCCCACGCTGGGATACGGGGCAGTGCCAGCGTTTATGTTCCACCCAAACCAGCCAGGCGGTGTTTCCTGAATGTAAACAGCGTTTAAGCCACCTCTACAGGCATAAAACCCTCTTGAACCTTGAGACCCTTCTCTGTGAATCAAACGTGATGGAAAAGCGCCTTGCTGAATGCTTGCAGACGGGGGCCTGACAGCCCCTGCGGGAAGCCGATTCCGGAAGCGAGGGGCCACCACTGGGAGGTCTGCCCATCCGCTTGCCCTTTGTGGTGGGCAGGGGAGAAGGGCTGCCAAGGTCAGCCAGACCGTGCGGAGAAGGCCGCTGGCCCTTCGTGCCACACTGCCGGTGCCCCCCGTCACCAGTGCAGGAGTTACGTGGCCTGCGAAAGGAGGCGGCTGCACGGCCGCGATGCCGTGGTCAGTGCTGGCAGCTCAGGCCAAAGGCGGAGCAAGCGCGGTTCTGCCTGTGACATCCCCTGCTAGAATTTTTATATAAGCAAAACTCCCTCTAGGACTTAAGAGCCTCAATAGAGTCGGGCGAGGGTGGGCCCTGTCTGGTTCCCCTGGCATACTAGATTTTTCCCTCCCTGGGGAAGCATGAATCAATGCAACCCTCTGGATTCTGGGGGACGGGACACCCCGGTTTCTTCCACCCTGCAGGGCCTGAACTCCCCCTAGCAAAGCAAAATTCCCCTCTGGGAAGAAGAGAAGGGAATGGTCAAGGGGAAGGCTTAGTACAGTCACGGCGAACCTTTTAGAGGCCGAGTGCCCAAACTGCAACCCAAACCCACTTATTTATTGCAAAGGGCCAACACTGCAATCAAACCTGAAAACAGCCAGTCCAAGCACATATATATATCCTTGCCCTTCTGTGCCAACAGAGAAGGCTCTGCATGACCGCTGTGGAATGCGTGCCATGGGTTCACCACCTCTGCTCTAACCCTACCCTGGGGCCCACCCCTAACCCTAATACAGGGCTAAAGTTCCATTGAAAATAGGGCGATTTTGAAAAAGCCGTCCTTGAGGAGCTTTTTCTGCACAGCTCATCATTTCTGCCCCTTCTAAACACATTCCAACCATCAAAATCATGCCAGGGCACCTTGTTTTCCTAACCCTAACCCTAACCCTACCCTGGGGCCCACCCCTAACCCTAATATAGGGCTAAAGTTCCACTGAAAAGAGGGCGATTTTGAAAAAGCCGTCCTTGAGTAGCTTTTTCTGCACAGCTCATCATTTCTGCCCATTCTAAACACGTTCCAACCATCAAAATCATGCCAGGACACTTCGTTTTTCTAACCCTGATCCAGTGACGGCGAAACTTTTAGAGACTTAGTGCCCAAACTGCAACCCAAAACCCACTTATTTATCGCAAAGTGCCAACACTGCAATAAAACCTGAAAACTGAGGTTTTAGTCTAGAAAAAAACACCTCACAGCCAGTCCACGCAAAGATATATATATCCTTGGCAGCGCACTGACCGGCCATGCGAAAGCTAATGAGTCGCGGCTCGTGACATCGCCTGGTGCCGCTACTCCTTTCCGAGCAGGCACATGGCCCCTGTGCGCTGTTACCCGATGCTTCACTGCTGGGGCGACTGGCCCGCGGGCCAGAATCATAGACGGGCAGATTTTGGAGGGGCCAGTGGGGCCAGCCCCCTGCTGTTGCAGGATGCCAGTTTCCACCAGACCCAGACAGGGTCCAGCTGTGGGACAAAGATTTGAGGCTGCGGCATAAACCTGTGCGCACCGCAAAGGGGAGCCTGCAGAAGCACGAGTGGGTTCACAGGACCCTTCTGGGACCCATTCCTTTATGGATGGCCAACACCTCCTTGGTTCCCTATGGATGTGGCCCTCCTCTGTTCCTTTGTGGTGGGGTAAGGACAGGTGGATTGTCCCATTTACGAATATCCTCCCAACAGATATAATTCTGTTTTTCGGGGCAGCTTATATGACAACAGCAACAAACATATGTATAAAATGCTATCATAAAATATAAGAAATGACCCTTTAAACCCAACCCCCCCCCCCGAGTGACTGCAGCTGTGGAAGCCGCTTGGAAGGCTGGAGGGGCGGTTTCCTTGGTCCAAAGCAGCGGCAGGCAGGCGGGTGCCCATGGGGAGCCTCCCTTCCCGGCCCCCCCTGCATGGCACCTCATGGGGGGAGGCACACCGAGAAGCTCCTCGGATGCTGGCAAAGCAGGGCAGGCAACCTGAAGTTCCACCACCCTGAGGCTGCAGAGGCTGTACAGGCTGTGTCTTATGGGAGTCGGAGTCGAGGGCACCAACAGGGCACTGTGTTGTCCATGCCACCCGAGTGGGGGGCGCGTCCCGCAGGGCGTCTCACTGCTCTGCTCGCAAGCGCGGTGCCCAGTGGTTGGCTGCGCGGTCTGAATAGAGGTGACGGTGGAGAGGTGCTCCTGGCAGGAAGCCGGCTGCCCTTCAGCTGCGCCCCCCAACGCCCTTTCCCTGCCTGGAGCCCTCCAGATGGGGGTCCCGCCTGGCCTGGCTCGCTCGCTCGCGATTTGTCTCCTGCCCACGTCCGCTGCGGCGGCCAGCGCCATAAGAGCGGGTGCTCGCTCCACGGGGTGCCTGGTGCCCTCCGGGGCAGCCCCGCGTTGAGCCCGCCGGGCCCCAGGATCGGCCCCAGGATCCTCTGCCGTGCCCGTGTGTCCAGGGCAAGCCGTTCTCCGCAGGAAGGCTCGCTCCTCCAGGGAGCAGGCTCCGGATCGCCCTTCCCTGGCACGGGCACAGGACGGATGCCGCAGGGCGTCCTGCAGAGACTGGCAAAGGAGTGGGGGCTCTCTGATGTATTCCTGCCCTGGCAGTTGGCCCTGGGCAGACTTGCTCCTGCTGCGAAGCCTCATGGGACAGCGGGGCCATCAAGCATCCTTGCCTTCTGGGGCACTCTTGGTAGGCCCAGGAACCCTCCGGACTCAGCGCCGCCCGGCAGAGCTGAGAGGCCGCTCGGACAAGGAAAGGACGCGTTCTTCACACAGCCGAGAACTTGCTGCCAGATGGGCCTGTGAATGATGGTGTGGGTGGCTTTAACACGGCACGGAGGGAGAGGAAGAGGCTGCCTTGGGCGTGGACTCCATGCCCAGAGGCACTCTTGCCCTTGGAATGCTGACTAGGAAGTAGGAAGGACCGGCGTTGCTGGGGCTTCCTGCGGGCAGGAACCGGCTTCGGGCTTGCTCCGACCTGCCAACGAGGCCAACCCAGGGGAAGCAGCCCAGCACAGGCGGCAGAGGGCTTGGGGAGCCGCTGACGTGGCAAGGACTTGGCACCGGGATGCGGCCGCGAAAGAGGGACGTCCCGCTGCAGGCGGCCACATCGCGACACGTGTCTTCTCAGTCGTGGGACGTGATGGGGCTGCCCCGACCGCACCTCGCCTCGCCTCGCCTCTGGTCCTGCGCCCACCCCCCTGCAGAAGGGCTCGGACAAGCTGGAGCACGCTTGGCGGAGGGTGACGGAGATGCTCTGGGGGCCAGAGGTGGAGCCCCCCCAGGAGACGGGGAAGACCTGCTTCTTTCCAGCCGTGGGGAGTGGAGTGCGTCGCTCGGGTCCTTCGCAGTCGCCCCGTGGAAGAGGCCACAGCCTGCTCTGTCATCCGGTGCTCCGGGAGGCGGGAGAAGAGCTGAAGCTCCGGAGGGCCGATGTCAGCGGACAACGGGGAAAGTCCTGGTGGCTGTCGGGCGGTCGGCCACGAAGGCAGCTGCCCGGGAGGCCCACGAGCTCTCTGTCCTGGGCGCATCTCAGCGGAGCCGGACCGCCGGAGAGCGTGGCCTGCGAGCACCTGAGGGGATGTGGTGGCTGCTCGAGGCCAGCCGGGACTCCCGAGCCGGTGGTCTGGCAGGGCCACTGTGCCCAGCGCAGCTCGGCCTCGCCGGGGGTTCGGGGCAGCGGGCCAGAGGGCTGCCAGCTCGCCCGCCCGCCAGCTCTTCGTGGCGGCCCGTCCAGAACCGCCTCTCCATCCTTCGGGGCTGCTTGGCAGCTGCCGGCCCTGAGCAAGGCCAGCCTTTCCCGACCCGGCGGCCTCCGGAGGGGCAGGAGGAAGCCTCCCACCGTGCCCTGCATGGATGGGCAGGCTTGCACGCTTGTGTGTGGGGGGGGAGAGCCGTGGGGCCTTCTCCCCTCCCTGGTGATGGTGCTGAGAGCGGCACTCGTGTCTCACGGGGACGTGTGTGCGGTTCCACTGGCCCCACCGGTGGGCGTCTGGGAGCGTGCGAGGCGCCCCCGTGGGGGGGAAGTTGCGCTGTGGGGAGGGGGCCGGGGCCCGTGCGGTCAGCATGGGGGGTCTGGGGACCGCGCCATGGGGGTGAGATCGCTCAGAGAGGGCGGGAGGGCTCCGGCCGGCACGGGGGGCTCTGGTCACCAGCCCTCGCGGCCACACGCCTGGGGTCCAGAGAGCTGCACGGGCGCCGTGCGCGCGCATTCAGAGGCTTGCGCTCGCACTCCAGCGCCTCGTGCCACCTTGCCTTTGACCCACCCTCCCTCCCCATCTGTTCCCCTCTGGAAAGGCAGGGGGAGGGGCGGGTGGAAACTGCTAATTAAGACCTTGGTGCGTCTAATTAACGCTCTCCCCTTACAGCGAATTAATTAGGCTCCAAGTTGCCATGGAAATGGGATGGTGACCTAGAAACGGAAGCTGGGGCTTTCAGGCAAGGGGTTCTCGGGTGCGTTTTCCCACGGAGGTGTGGCTCCCCCGCCCCCCCCCCGGGCAGGTGAGGGGTCGCACCCTGACAAGGCCCTTTGCTCTCCAGCCGCCTTTTCACGCGTGGGAAAGAGCCAGTCCCGCCTCCACTGGCCTCCAGAGCGACCCCGAAACTTCTGGAGGAGCTTGCCGCACCTTCGCGTGCCAACCACTGGCCCTGGAGGGATCGGCCTCCCCGGCAGATGCAAGTCCCGCTGGTGCGCCCCTTGCCCTCCTGCTCCTCGGACCGATCTGCCTGGTCACGGGGTCCGCGGAGCCCCCGAGAAACAGTTCTGGGGTGGGGCCTCTGGAGCGCCCCGCCCCCTCCCCACAGCTCCCTCGCGCCCAGCTCCCCGGTGGCCCTGTCGGGGTCTCTCAACAAGGTCTCCCCCTCCCACACCATCCTACCCTGTCCAGGCAGCTCTGGATCAAGGACTCGCCACCCAGCAGACCCGCAGGCCTTCAGGTGTCGGTTGTCCCTTTCGTTTTGGGTCCCAAACCTCGGGATCAGCGCTTTGACTCTCACGCGCGCCCCGGCGAGCGTCCGGGCCGGGTCGAACGCTTGCAGAGCCCCTTTCTGTAGGAGCCCCTCTCCTCCGCGGCTCCCACCCACCCCTCCGTGGCTACCGACCCCCGCTCTGGGCGCCGCACTGGGCCGGGGATCGCAAGGGCCCTTCCTTCCGCAGGTGAACGAGGCAGCGGGGACTGGCCTTCCCGCCCCAGCCTCACCCGCCCGTCTCTCCTCTCTCCTTTCAGACATCCGGGACAGCGGGAAGAAGCCCGTGATGCTGTTCCTCCATGGCGGCTCCTACATGGAGGGGACCGGGAACATGTTCGACGGCAGCGTCTTGGCCGCCTATGGCAACGTGATCGTCGTCACCATGAACTACCGGCTCGGCGTGCTGGGTACGGGGCCGGGGCCGGGAACCGGGGGTCCACCCCCAAGCGGCCCACCTCCTTTCTCGGCTCCTCCTGCAGCTCATGTCATTCTGCGGTGCTCTGCCCTAGAGGATGCAGGCGCCCGTGGGGGGCTGGGGGCACCGCTGGGGCCAGCCCCCTCCTTGGAGCCCCCCCCCCCGCTTTCTGGTCCTTATAGTGGCCTCGCACTCGCGTCTTCCGCGGCTGTGCATGTGCCTCTTCATATGCTCCTGGGCAGCGCTGTCTCCCCCGCACTCAGTCATTTCTGCCCCGATCGATGACACACCCAGAGCCAGGGGGGCGTGGGGGCGGCTTGTGCGAGGAGGGGCCGCGCGGCCAAGCGTGGGCATGGGCCGTCCTGCGGAGATCGGGAGCGCCCAACCTGGGCCGGGAGCCGGCGCCTCTGGTATTCAAGGCATCTGCCGGATCCGCATCGGACGCTGGTCCAAGCCCCCCCACCACATCCCTCCCTCTCCTCTTCCCCCTGGGGGTGTGAAATTTACCCAGGCACAGCCAAAATTAATATTTCATTAAAAAGCTTTAAATAATTAACGGCAAGGCCTCGTTATCTCCCACAAAAGGGCCCCGGGATGGAGCGATGATTAATTTTAAAGGAGAGTGGTCGCGTGTAGCCGCTGCCTTTCGCGAGGCAGCAGAAATCCTTCCGATCGATCGCTCCCCTGAGCCGCTTCCGAGGGAGGCCGATGCGGAGCAGGGACGCTCTCCATGCAGCCGCTGCCCCGAGACACGTGCCTCATCTGGGCCCGGGCGGGGGGCGGGCAAGCAGGTGCCAAGGAGCTTGGGGGCAGAACGGGGCGCACGGGGGAGGGCGGTGGGGCAGGACGAGCGGGCTCAAGGCTCCCCATGCAGGTCTTCACCCGGGAGCCCGAGAGCACGGAGCCCTCTGGCTGCCTCGCCTTCCGCCCGGTGCTCTGAATGAATCGCCCTGCCTGAGCCCGTTCTAGGAGGCTCGGGAGCCTGGGGGCCGGAGCGTTCTCCGGAACGGGTGTGGGACGGCACTCAGTCCATGCTAAGGGGGGTCTGAACAGGCCAGACCTCTCTGTTTGCCTGCAGAGTCACGGTGAATGGACCCATGCCTGGGAGCACCTCCCCAGAACCCATCCGTCCGTGCACCCCCTTCCTAGACCCAGCATCCACAGCTCTCCCCTCCTCTCCCCTCGGCAATTCCTCTCTCTGCATTTTCACGGCAGGGTTCATGAGCACCGGCGACCAGTCGGCCAAGGGAAACTACGGACTGCTGGACCAGATCCAGGCCTTGCGGTGGCTTAACGAGAACATCGGCCACTTTGGGGGCGACCCCGAGCGGATCACCATCTTCGGCTCGGGCGCAGGGGCCTCGTGCGTCAACCTCCTCATCCTGTCTCACCACTCGGAAGGTAACGCTTTGCCCCCTTCCTGGGTGGACTTGCCGTTCCCTGGAGGGGTGTGTGAAGAGGCCACACTGCACAGATTGATTCGCACTGGTTGTCGGTCCCACCCAAAACAAGAAGTAGGAGTGTCCGTGCTTGCAGGCTTTCAACATAAAAGACACGGCACGCAAGGAACAGGAACGGGGCAAGAGGAGGAAAATGGCAAAGTCAGATGTTTATTTTTCGTGAGCTGCTCCCTCCCGTATTCCCTTCTGCGCTTGCAGTCTATGTAGTCACTGAGAAGTTTTCTCCCCTGCATCGCTGTGTCCAGGGGAGGGGGCCTTTGCTCAGGGGCTCAGCCCCCGCCTCACACGCAGGTGTCCCAAGTCCAGTGCCGCACCTGTGCAGGTCAACAGATTCCGCAGGGAGTGCTCCCCCCGCAGGGAGGGCTGCTGGCGGGCAAAGGCGGCACGGCCGGCTCGGGCAGATGGCCAGAGGGCAGCTCCGAGTCCGTGGGGCCCACCCCACCCCTGCACTGGGGTCTCTGGTGCGCCCGCGGATCACACCTCTCTCCCCCTCCTCCCGGCAGGCCTGTTCCAGAAGGCCATCGCTCAGAGCGGCACGGCGATTTCCAGCTGGTCCGTCAACTACCAGCCCCTCAAGTACATGCGCATGCTGGCCTCCAAGGTGGGCTGCGACCACATGGACACGGGCAGCACGGTGGAGTGCCTCCGGCGCAAGCCCTACCGCGAGCTGGTGGACCAGGACATCCAGCCCGCGCGCTACCACATCGCGTTCGGCCCCGTGGTGGACGGCGACGTGGTCCCGGACGACCCCGAGATCCTGATGCAGCAGGGCGAGTTCCTCAACTACGACATCCTCATCGGGGTCAACCAGGGCGAGGGGCTCAAGTTCGTGGAGGACTCCATGGAGAACGAGGACGGCATCTCGGCCAGCTACTTCGACTTCACCATCTCCAACTTCGTGGACAACCTGTACGGCTACCCGGAGGGCAAGGACATCCTGCGCGAGACCATCAAGTTCATGTACACCGACTGGGCCGACCGGGACAACGGCGAGATGCGCCGCAAGACGCTGCTGGCCCTCTTCACCGACCACCAGTGGGTGGCGCCGGCCGTGGCCACCGCCAAGCTGCACGCCGAGTACCAGTCGCCCGTGTACTTCTACACCTTCTACCACCACTGCCAGACGGACACGCGGCCCGAGTGGGCCGACGCCGCGCACGGGGACGAGATCCCCTACGTCTTCGGGGTGCCCATGATCGGTGCCACCGACCTCTTCCCCTGCAACTTCTCCAAGAACGACGTCATGCTGAGCGCCGTGGTCATGACCTACTGGACCAATTTTGCCAAGACGGGGTGAGCCCGAGGGTGCGGCGCGGGGAAGGGGGGCCGTGGGAGGGGCTGGACGGGGCAGGAATGGGGCGGACGGGGGCGCCGTCCCCCCGAGGACAACACCCGCCTCCCTTCAGGCAGCTGGTTCCAGCGCCTGACCGGTCCCTGGCGTGCACCTCGGCTCTGTGCGCCGCTCGTTTTCTTTCCTCCCGTCTTGGGGAAGAGAGCAGGTTGGGGTCCTTTCCTCGGGGGGGTTCTGAAAAGCCCCCTGCCCGTCAGCTCTTCTCAGGGCCAGAGCACCCCGGCTTCTCCCCTTTCCCCGCCCGGCTCTTTCCTAGCCCCCCGATCATCTTTGCCCCGTTTTCTGAGCTCGTCCCAGCGCCCACTCCCTCCTGAACGTGGTGCCCAGGAGTGAGGTGGGCCAGCCCAGCAGGGGGTGGGCTGCACGCTGGCTTCTCGTGACTCCCATCGCGGGCGACGTGGGCCTTGGCTTCGGGGCCACCAGCTCCATGGCCTGGCAGAATCGGGCGGAGAAATGGTTGCACCAGGCCGGCTTAGCTGGCTCTCGGGAACTGCCGTGGTGAGCCACCCCCGAAGACGGAGGCAGCGCCCTGTTGGCCGGGAGCGACCGCGGATGTCGCTGGGATGAGTAAGGCTGGATTAGGAACGGGCGGCAGGACAGTGTGATGGGCAGAGCAAGTCGGGGGATGTCGGGTCAGGCTGAGCACGCTGCTCATCGTGAGTCTCTGGGCAGCTAGGAGGACTCCGGAGCCCGCGGAGCTGCAGGCGTTCCCGGGTGCTGGGCAGCTGGGCCTGGGGTGCGAGGAAGGGCCCGAAGCGGCCCCTGCTCTGCGTCCTGCAGCGAGGCGCCAGAGCCGGAGGGCCGGGCAAAGCCCGGCCGGGGCAGGGATGTGCCGGCGTTGGCAAACCGTTCCGTCCTGCGTCTTGCCTCTTCGATCCGTTGCCTGCTTGTTGGTCGAACTGGATTTTGGGACAAGAACGCACTCCGGTTTGCAAAGGCATGGGGCTCGAACATGGCCACGAGGCTGGGGAGTTCACACGATGCGGGAAACCTGGTCCCCGCACAGCCAGAGAAATCCGGACCCCTTTGAACCCATTGTGGATTTCGGCAACACCCTGATGCAGAGGTCAAGGCCCGCGGCCGCAAGGGAGGGCCAGGGGAAGCGGAAGCCATGCAGGGATCTTGATGCGAGACCCCCCCCCCCCCGCCCTTGGGACAGGCAGAGGCGCATGGGCTGAGGCGGAGAGCCTTATGGGCCGGTGGGACCAGCCTTGGGGGCCGGGGCCGCAGGTAGCACACACCGTTGGGCTGATGCTGTGCCCCTGGAAGGGCGTCCTTGGACCACGGAGCTCGGGGTCAAGCTTGCCATGCAGGGGGCACTGGTGGCAGCTGCCAGGCCTGTCTGTCGAGCGCCAGCAGAGGGAAGTGTTAGCAAAGCGGGGGGTGGGGGGACGGAGGAGGCCGACGGACGGACGGGTGTAGCAGCACGGAGGAGCCTGCATCGGGGTGTGTGGCTCGCACACCCACAGGCCTCCGGGGAAGGAGGGGCCGGGCTGATGGGGCGGGGAGGGCCGGTGCCGAGCGAGCGAGCGAGCGGCGTGAATGCGGGCAGCGGCGTGCGCGGCTTCTCGGAGGGAGCCTCGTCTTCTTGGGAGAACAGCTGCCTGGGCTGATGGGAGAGGATAAGCCAGGGGGTTGGAGCACGTGCCGGGGAGCGGAGGAGTTGCCGAACCTTGCCCGGGCCTGAGGACGGGCGAGCGGAGGGTGAGCAAGCTGAGATTCAATCGGACGAGACGGAGGAGTTCTGGCCCACGAACGCCCGAGCCAGTTTGGGATCCAGCCTGTCCCGGAAGGGCAGCACCTGCCCCCGCCCCGCCAAGGGCCCGGCCGGCAGCGTGGAAGGGCGCCTGCGTGGCCAGGCCTGCTGCCCCAGCCCGGCTCCGCCTGGCCTGGCACGAGCATCGGTCGCGCCACATCCGGCTCAGCGGCCCCTTTCTCGGGCTCCCTCTGGGCCTGCCACCAGCCCCGCTCATCCGGCCTTCGGAAAAGGAGGAAAGGCACGTTTCCCCCATTTGACCCTGTGAAACAGCTGCTTGGCGGTTTTTATTTTTATTGCGTGGGGTTTAAATGCGCTGAAGGCTGCCTCGGTGGCCCTTTCGGCAGGTACGGCAGCGTATCGATGCCAATTCATAAATAAACAAGCCACGCACGGCTGAAGGGCACTGAGCCGGAGTGGGGGGCTGCTTCAGGCCCCTGCGGGCCGTTCCTTACCTGCGGATAACGACAACCCCGAGTGAGTGAGCGAGCCCGGGATGCCAGGTGAGGCGCGAGCCCTCTGCTGCTTGGCTGTGGGTGGTCCCCCATAATGAGCCCAGGAAGACGCCCCGCGGGGTGCCGTTGGGCCACGGGTTGTGTGGGGTTGGCAGCTCACGGGTGAACAGCAGCCTGCGATGCAGCCACGACTCGCCCTCTGCACAGACTCGGCCCACAATCGCCGAGGCCTCGCTGCGCTGCGTGAGAGCGAGTGCGCCGGGTCGCATGGCCATGGGGTGGGCACTGGGGCTGTGCCTGTTTGGACACAGATGTCCCTGGGGCCTGGGCAAGGCTGGCCTCGAACTTGTGGCGGTCACAGGGGACGTCCGTGGACACGCTCCCAAGGGGGTCTCTCCACCCCCTCCTTCCCTCGCCTCCATGTTTATTTCTATACTTACGACTGTCTGCCGAAAGTCTCCTGTGAATACTTATCCTACAGGAAATTAAATCAAGGGGAAGAGGAGGAGGTTGACTGGAGCTGCAGCTCGACTGCGCATAAACGCAACATTGGGCAGCGCTCCAGGATTCCAGTTCATAGCGCCTCGGAAAATTGCGTTCAGAACCCGGTGGGACTGGAACTGCAGCGCTCCCGGACGGGTGCCCAGGGTCGCCTTCCGATCGGTCCCCACGTGGGATCGTCGGCCCCCGAGTGGCCGCCTCCTTCCCTAAGAATGGCCAACAGTGCAGCCTGCCGGGGATGCTGGGAACGGGATGTGAGCCGCGGCCGACAGACAGCGCTCGGGCCGCTTCGATGACCGGCTCGCCGGCCCCTCCCGCCGGCCATTCCCGGCAACCCCGGTGACGAAGAGCGAGAGGGTCTTCTGGGGGGCCTTCCAGCAGCCGGTCTGGGTGGGTGCACGCCACCCTCCAGCGGTAAGGACCGCGACTCCCGTCTCTCCCGCCACACGGCCACCCCGGAGGGCGCCCGCTGGGGAAGGGTGTGGTGGGGGGCCGCCGCCACCGCCCGCGGCCGGAGGCTGGCCCCCTGACCCCGTCTCTGCCCCCTCTCTGCAGGGACCCGAACCAGCCGGTGCCGCAGGACACGAAGTTCATCCACACCAAGCCCAACCGCTTCGAGGAGGTGGTCTGGACCAAGTTCAGCACGAAGGACAAGCAGTACCTGCACATCGGGCTGAAGCCGCGCGTGCGGGACAACTACCGCGCCAACAAGGTGGCCTTCTGGCTGGAGCTGGTGCCCCACCTGCACAACCTGCACGAGCCCCCCTACACCTCCACCACCACCCACGCCCCGCCCTACGTCACGCGCTGGTCCGGCACCCGCGTGGGCACCAGCACCACCCGCCGGCCGGCCGCCACGCTCCCGCCCGACGAGGACGAGGTGGTGCGCCCGCAGCGCTACGTGCCCTTCCCGGGCGACTCGCGGGACTACTCCACCGAGCTCAGCGTCACGGTGGCCGTGGGTGCCTCCCTGCTCTTCCTCAACATCCTGGCCTTCGCCGCCCTCTACTACAAGCGGGACAAGCGGCACGAGCTGCGCGGCGGGCGGCGCCTGAGCCCCCAGCGCAGCGCGGCCAACGACCTGGCGCACGGCGGCCAGGAGGAGGAGATCATGTCGCTGCAGCTCAAGCACTCGGAGCACGAGCCCCAGGACCTGGAGCCGCTGCGGCCCCACGAGATCCTGCGCCCCACCTGCCCCCCCGACTACACCCTGGCCCTGCGCCGGGCGCCCGACGACGTCCCCCTGATGACGCCCAACACCATCACCATGATCCCCAGCACCATCACGGGGATGCCGGCGCTGCACCCCTTCAACACCTTCCCCACCGGACACAACAACACCCTCCCGCACCCGCACTCCACCACCCGCGTATAGTCGCCCCGCCCTCGGCCGCCCGGCGGCCCCCCGCCACCGGGACGGCCCTTCCGCACCACGCTGCGCGGAAGCTGACCGCGGGGCGGCGGGGACTCCCACGCGCGGCGCGTGGACGGGCCGGCGGTGCCCCCCCGGGCCCGCTCCGCCGGCACGGCACGGCTCCGGAGGCGCACGGCGGCTTGCACGAGATCGACCCCCCTCTCGAGCAGCTCGGGCGGACGAGCGGGATGCTGGGCCCGCTCGTGGCCGGATCGGGACTAGCGGCGCCCGGGCCGCGGGGAGCGCAGCCATCTTCCACCCGCGTTCGGACGGGCGACGGGAGCAGCCCCTGCAGATGTGGCTCCGCTGCCCGGGAGGCAGGGAGCGAGTGCGAGGGCCGCCCGGCTTCATCCATCCTGTGGATGCGAAGGCAGCCCGTGTGGGGCGTGGGGGGCGGAGAGGGGGCCGTCCCGCTGCTCCCGGGTGGCGGCAGACGAGGCCGGTGCCCACCCAGCTTCTCCGGAGGGCAAGGATCCCTGACTCCACCCAGCACTGCATTTCCAACGCTGGATCCTGCCGAAGATCGACCCCTCGGCCGCCGCTCGCCCCGCCCGCTGGCTTGGTGGATTTTCCTTCAGAGCCGGGCGGGAGCCAGAGCTGGGAAGGTTGGCCCCCCTCCTCCGCCCTCTCCCGCTCCTTTCTGTTGCGTGCATGCGAATCGGGCCCGGCTCCCCGTCCTGCGAGAGGCCGGCCGCCCTCCCACCCGACCCGGAGGCAGCAGTGTGGCCGCCGGCCCGCGGGGTGGTCGGTGCCAGCGCTCGGGAGCCTCGAGGAGATCCGTGGGCCCCGGGGGGCGTTCCAAGCAGGTGACGGGCTCCCAGGGGAACGAGGGGCTGGCTGGCCGGCCAGCCTGCCTGCCTTCCTCACGGGGTGGGCGGTCAGAATCCCAGTGCCTTCCTAGCACAATTTGGAGAGAGCGGTTGACCATGCTGGCCCATCCCCTGGCCTTTGCCCTATTCCTTGCCCTCCAGGGACATGGCGAAGATAACGCACCACCCACCCCCTTGAATCGCTCCTGTGGCAACTCAAGAGGCGCTTACTATCTCTGCAGTGGAAGATGGGGGTGGGAGGGGGGCGAGGCATCTTGGATTAAATTAGGAGGGGGTGAAGTGTGTGTGTGGGGGGGCAGCTTGCACTAGCTCGTTTCCAAGGTGAAAATTCGAAGGCAACAACTGGAAATTCACTTTTCCTGAAAGGGAGGGGGAATTAAGTTTATTACGATTCTTTTATCTTTTTAAAAAAATGAGATTGCAAGGACTGAGGAGAGGAGGGGGAGCTGCTGAAAAGAAAAGAGTGACCACTAGGAGAGTGTCCTGCACGTTCCCATTTGTTTTTAATTTTTAAAGAGTTGGACGAGGAAATGAGGAGGTGCCCCCGTATCCTGCTTGTCTCGGGAATCCGCTTGGCCCCCCGACTGAGCGACCCCTGCGTCCCGCTCCTCCCTCGCCCACAGCCGGCTTAGTTTTCACTGCTTGATGGGCCTCGGCACCCTGAACCTCCCTCCCTAACCCCTTTGAGTCTCCGACGGCATCTGAGTTGTCAGCACAAGGCAAGATGAACATCAGACCTTGGATAGCTCCCGGGGGGTCGTCTTGGTTAGCATTCCCCTTCTCTGACTGCGGGAGGATGTTGTCTCAGCAGGCAGCCGAAGCCGCTTGCAGGCGGACGAGGCCTGTGCTGTGGGCAGCCCCGCTCCTCCTGGGGTGCTGGCTGGCAAGGGCTGATTGGGCAGCCCGAGGTGCCTGTGGGGCCGGGCCGGGCCGGGCCGGGGAGAGAAGGGCAGGCAGGGCTGTGTCCTCCAGCCACGGAGGCCCCGTCTCTAGTCCTCCTCAGAATCCTTTTCTGTACTCTGGAAGGGCCAAGGGCTGCCGGCTGCCTGGGCCGCCGAGCCGCCTTCCCCTGCAGGTGTCGAAGGCGAGGGGCACCTGGCCGGAGCTTCAAGGCAGGGGAACGGAAGGCCGCCTCCCATGCTGTGGCATAATCCAGCCACGCAGTGCGATGCTGTTGTCTTAAGAGGCAATTGAACAACTTCCCGTAGGGGGAAGAGCTCTACCAGCGGCTTCTAGTCAAGCACAGCGGGTGGAAGCCGCCTGTTCTAAAGCCACGGCTCCCAGCTGCCGGAGGGCTCCCCCGGCAGGGGCTGTCGCTCCGATGCCCCCCTTGCCCGTGGGGGATGAGCACTTAAGGCCAAACAGTCCAGCGGACCAGTTGTGTTGTCTCTCCTCCCTCCAGTGTGTTAAGCTTAGTGTCCTTTGCAGAAAAACGAGGCCGACACAGGTGAAGTGCACCTGGCGCTGTGCTGGAACGGAGGCTTCTCGCCGAGGCCGTCTGCCCAGCGGCCTCCCTGCTTGATGAGGCCTGCAGCTCGGGAGCGCTTGGCCCAAGCATGACGATCCCCTTAGCTGGGGCAGGACTGCTCCCCCACCCCCCCGCCCCCCACGATTCTGGGATGTATGCGGAGTATAGACCAGCCTTCCCCAACGTGGCATTCTCCAGGGGTGGGGAATGCTGGGAGCTGTAGTTCAGCACCTTTGCAGAGTACCAGGTTGGGGAAGGTTGCGCATGGATGAGCCGACCGTTGGAAACATTCGATGTGGTTTCATGCATTCCTGCCAAATGTCAGCCTGAGGAATTGGCCGTCCCGGGAACTTAAGAAATGTGGTGGCATAGATACAAAGCGAATCAAAGGGGGCCTCCGGGGCCACCTAGCCTGACCCCCAGCTTGAGTCAGCTCTGCGCATGTAATCCCCATGTGGGTGTCCAGTCTTTCCCTGAACGCTCCCACTGACGGGGCTTCAGCCTCCTCCCTTGGAAGTCCATGGATGGGTGAGGAAGTCTTGGGGATCTGGAAGTACCAAGCCAGGCGCCCTTCCCGGCCCCTCTCCCTCCGCACTGTACGCAGGAAGAGAGGTCCTTGGGGGGCGAGCCTGAGGATCCTTCCCCGTGAGGTTACTGGGATGCGGCTCCTGACCACACGCATCTGCCTGTGGTCCGAGAACCGCCACGGTCAGTGTCCCCCACCAGGTCACTCCGACCACCGGCCCCAGGGACCCCGGTGGTGCTCTTGGGCACGGTGCTGCGGGGGGAACTCGTCCCGCCCGGCTCCGTGGCCACGCTCCGGGGCGCGTCCAGAACGGTGGGCAGCCGTGCCGAGCCCCGGTGTCCGCACGTTCCTCTGGCGGAGCTGGTGTCGGGGGAAGCAGAGGCCCCGGCAGTCCGTTCGCCACCAAGCCACCTCCAAATCCACGGAGTCACTGCACAGAGTGCTGGCTTTGGCCCCATCGCTTGCGGTGAGGATCCATTTCCGCCCGGCTCCTGAGAGGATTGCGACTGCCCCGGAGGGGGCAGTGCGGCAGCCCCCCAGCGAGGGAGGTGGGGTCGGAGGCCTCGGCTTGCTTCCGGCCCCTCGCTCCCCTCTGCTGATTTTTTCCCGTGCAGATGGGGCTTCGGCCTTTCTTTCTAACCCAGTTTTCCTGGAGAATATTTCTCCGTGTCCTCCCCGGAGAGAGCCTCACCTCGCCTCTGTGGGGCGGGCAGAGCTTCCAGCGGCCCTCCCCACGCGACGCATGTCAAACAGCGGAGATGGCTCAGGCCCACGGCTGCTGCCTCGGCCCTGGAAGAGCGACATTCGGTGCCCAGACCACGCCTGAACCCTAACCAGCTGGGCGGCTCGCGTGGATCGTGCAGGCAGGGGGTGCCCAGCTCCCCCATCCCAGCCCCTCCCCGGCCCTTCCAGGAAGAACGGCCAAGCTCTCCCCGGCTTTTGGCCAACCGGTGCCCTCTCTGCGGCAGAGCAGAAGGAGCGATCCAGCTGCTTTTTGGCCAGGAGAGAGTCTGGCTAGAAAGGGCGACTGGCCGATGGAGGGAGGCAGTAGGGCGGAGGGGGGCGGGGGTCTTGTTTGGAAATAACGGGGGCTTTCCAGAGGAAGGGCGTGCTTGACGGAAGTTGGGGTGGACGAGCGGAAATCCTTCGACACGCTGAGCCGGCCTCCTCCAAGCCGGGTGTCTGAGAGCTGCAGCCCTCCGTCCCCGCTCCCATACACCGCGCCAGCGCATCCGGCGTCTCTCCGTGGAACCGATCCTTGCGTGCCTGCTTGTTTCTATAATACATAGCTTGGCTTGCTTGCATGAGTTAGCTATTTGCTTTGGAGGAATCTGCGGGTGGCTGTGCAGAGTGCCTTCTGTTCGTTGCACACTTTTCGGAGGCTGGCAGTAGGGTTTGGGGGGGCAGGCATGGAGGTGGCTTCTCGCTGGGGAGGGACGGGGGGGTGGGCAAAGGGGCACCTTTGGTGGCCCCCCAACTCTTGAGCCCTGTTCCTAAATTCTGTTCTCCATGGGAAGAGGCACCGAGGCCTCTCAGATTCACCCGTGCAAGAGAAACTCCATCAACTTTCCCAGTCACGCCCCTTCTGAGAAACGTCATGCGTTGCTGCAAGCCAGACTTCCCCAGCCAGGCACCCCCCCCCCAGTGTGTTGGACTGCAACTCCCATCAGCCCCAGTGCCAGGCTGGGGAAGACTGCCTTCCAGGAATCTCGTCCTCTGCTCTGTTTCCATCAAGTCCTCAGTTGGAGCCAATGATATTACATTTGTTTTAATCCAGTTTGGACAGAGGGAAGGTGGTCTTTTTTAAATTGTTGTGTAAAAAGCACATTCTCTCTCTGCTGCCTTCACCCATATTCACACCTCTGCCGTTGGTTCTGGGGTGGTAAGGATTTGGTTTCTTGGTTTTGTCTTTTAAACTACTCTGGCGGCGAAAAGGATCCGGGGAGAAAGGCAGGCGGGGGGGGCGACAGGCGGGGGGGCGGGGGGCATTTGCGTTCTAAGCCATTCTGAAACTCCATCTAACTTTGCAATGTTGCCAGTTGGTTTCCTTTTTTTAAAAAAAGAATTTATTATAAAATATAAATAGATATATAGATATATAGATATATATATCCATTTTTTTTAAAAAAGGAAAGCA